TGCACACAAGTGGTCAAAGACTGCACCAGACCCAAAGAACGAGCCTATAATTTTATTCTGCAAATACCCTTCCCACATAGTGGTCTACTGAAGTCACTGGCGGTTTGCCCATCACCGCGCAATTCTCTCTGAGAGATCAGAAACTAAGTAGGATTGCATTTACCACTCCCCTTGTCTCCAAATTCTCATTTTCCAAAAAATCACCCATATTCCAAGCGGTAACCAGAAGTAATGACCAGAATTGTGTTCATGCACTCACTTATCCGGGTAATTTCCACATTTCTGGTCCTGTGTTGCTAACATAAAGGCTTTGCAGCAGAAGAGCTGCACCCTGAGCCCAAAATACTGTGTGTGGTACAAAAGGGAAACTGTACTCTTCAGAGATTAATGTGCAGCCCAGCTGAGATGGTGATGCGTGAACATAGAGCTGGTGCAAATGCAAACTCATGGTCATCCAACACCCACAGTGCAGAAAGGCTCCAGCTCTGCAGCTGAGAGAGAAGGGGGCATCCCTGAGGCTGAGGCTGAGGCTCTCGGCGCAAGCACAGCTCAGCTGCAGCGCTCGCTTGTGCCCTGTTAGGTGCAGAAGGGTAGAGCAGGAGGAGCATTTTTCTGGGGCTTACTTGTAGGTAGAAGCTGGGGAAAAAAGGAAGGGAAGCCCTGGGAAGGAGCAAAATAAGGAGAGGAGAGCTTGGCCCTTACCTGTTATCACACTCAGAGGACCTGGACCTCTTCTGTGAGCTGAAAGGAAGCAGTTAAAAGCCGCTTGGTACCAGGCCTACACTTTGACCTCCCTTGATGCATCCACAGCACGAGGTCATCTCATCTATACATGCCTCAATCACCCTCACATACCTGCAACTGCAGCTCTGTGCAGCTGCATGACCTTGGCCTGGAGCCACTTCCAGCAGAGCTGTCATCACCGTCTTCCTTTCCTTGCCTCTCGCAGGGTATCTCACCTGCTTGCATGCTGCCTGCTGGCCTCCAGTGGCATCCAGACTGCGGCAGGCAGCAGAAAGGGAGACCAAGGCAGAGCCCAGGATGTCAACAACCTTGTTCAGGCTCAGAACGTGCCACGGGGCCATTCAAGAGTAACTCCACAAACTCCTTCCGCGAATTTTTCATTTGCCAGGCTAATAGGCCCACGGGAGAGTAGGTTAATGAGAAGAGAGAGGCTGAGGTATACTTAGCCAAAAGACAGGCATTAAAGACCAAAAAGGGTGAAATGTAGATGGAGGGGCTGTTTTGAAGGATTAGTCTCCCCTGAAACGCATAAGCCGGAGCTGTGCTCTTCACATCTGCTCAGCTGCCTGCAAGGAGCCGATCCGGTTGCAGGATCCCTGTGCTTCCTGAGCGGTATTTAAATAAGGTCAGGCAGAAGGCTGAAGAATTGCATGCTGAATCTTTCTTTTTACCTCTTTTATTATACAGCGACCACAGGATCTTTTCTATCTGTCTTCCCTAGTACTGCAAACTGCAGAGAGGAACGTACCTGTATTTATAGACATCGTGAGTCTCTCTCCCATTTATATTGTTAGCCATCTCTCTCTGTCATACTATCTTTTGGCTGCGCTGTGATGTCTTTCTGAGGCTTTCTAAAAGGTTTTGTCTCGTTTGTTTAGCTTGCCTCCCTGCCTTTAGTATTCATCTTTTATTTTTCCAGACACTGAAATGCTCTTTGTACATTCATTATTTCATATTTTACAAATTCCCTTTCCAAGACATTTTTAAAGCCTTTGCATTCTTTAATCTTCGAGTTTGTAATTCTGAGTTTTAAAAACCTACCTCCCATCTTTCTGGCTTATTGTGAATATGGCCCAGCTCAAAAATGAATGTTCAAAATCCTACTGACCACTAGTTTCAGCAGCCTGTATGGTTGCCCTTCTCATCAGGCTGCTCAGCCTCTTCCCAGGCACCACCAGCCATCACTGAAGACTGCTAGTTCTGGGTGCACCATTCAGTTACGATATAGTTACAGCTATGGTTACAATTATTCCCTGTAATATGTCAAGAAAATTACGTCGGAAATAGAGATATGCCTCCACAAGGTCTGTCATTTCTTTTATGAGATTACTTTTAACAGGGATGTGACTAGTCACTGTTATCACCTCTTCCGGTCAGCTCATCACACCCTAGGTAAGAGCATTTGGCATTTAATCTTACAGAAAGATGGGGCTAAAAAGCTGTGAAGCCATACCACTGGTCTCGCTCCAGTCCTCAACCCAAGTTCAGAGAGGGAAGGAGGAATAAGAGGCTTTTCTGCTGTAGTTGAGAAATAATTACTCTTTCTTCTTGTTTGAAGAAGCACAATGAGCCTCTAAGAGCTTGAGCCAGGAATGAAGGTGGGCTTAGGGCAGAGGACCTTTTTGCTTATGTAGGACCCCACTTCCTGCACAGGCTGCTCTAAACTGAAGCAGCAGCTTAGTGGAGGAAAGCTGTAAATGCTGTATTTGATTTTAAAATGGGGGACCCTGGCTGGAAACAATGGGCAGAAACTGGTGGGCAGAAAGAATAAAGTGAAAAATCTTCTCTGAAGAAGGTACCCTAAAAAAAAAAAACAGTCTTTCTCACTAATTCTTCCTCAAGTTAACATTTCCAAGTTTTCTAGCAAGTAGTATAGTGGTATGGTAGCTGATATTTTTCTTAGAGCCTGAACTACTGATGTCTTTGGATGTATTGTATATCACAACTTTTCTTTAAAGAATAGTGTTTTCTTAAAAAAAAAAAAAAAAGAGTTGAACTCCATGTTCACCTTGGAAAAAAAAAAGGTAAAACAAAAAGATTAAAAGTCAGTTTTTATTTTTAATTTTATAATTTTTCTGTAGGTTTACTGTTACTTTTAATGGCTAGTGATACAGTTTAAAATACAAATTTCTTGCAAGAAAACATAGCTGCTATGGTTCTTCTATGATTCAAAACTACCAAAGACATCTGACCTTCTCTAAAGTATTCTCTGCATTGCTTTTTAAATCTGATTACTTTAAAAACTAATTCTGAAATTGTTCACAGATTGTATTTTCTCCCCAGAGACACCCCAAGAGCTAAACGTCTGTCCTATCACTGACCTCACTGATAAACTTTTAAAGTGCAATTACATGGAGTTTCCCTAATTCGTTAAGAAACCATAGTGGTTGAACATTCTCGACAATGACTTCTTGACCCATATTGAAGGCAGAGGATTTTTAAAGGAGGACTGGAACTCTACATCACGTCTGCCTCAAAAACCACAGACGTTTCCTTCTTACTTTGAATGAGGCCACAGGTGAATAACCAACACTGTACTTTGATGTTCACCTGTTATGTATCACTAGCATACTGGCATGCAGAATTTTCTTGAGCTTTGATACATTTTTAATTAGCTAGAACTATACTGCATTATTAGAAACCTCCTCAGGATCAAAACCCAGGCTAGAAACATTGTCATGAGAAAGCATGTGGAAGAAAGAGTCTGTGATTAAAACTCAAAAGTGCTCAAAATCTCTTTGGAGACATCCCCCAGTTTCAGGTCGCTCTCTTCCCCTTCACTTTGCTCCAACTCATCTGTAAGCTAATCCATTGCGTTTTTTCTGAGTTCTTCTATGCTAAGATATTCCCTAGACTTTCAAGCTTGAAAAGATTAAAGCAGACTTTGAAAAATCTTTCAGCTCAAGCTCCGGAAGAGTCTTATTTTGGTCAGGTCTGCCCAGCAATGAAAGCATCAGCAGTGCAAATTGATCCTTCTTTATCCATCTTGAAAAGACAGCTTTTCCATAACAGCCATTCATTACGGAAACTTCCTAATAACCAGGCAAGTTTCTTTTGGGCACGATCATTAGAGAAGGCATAAGCGATTAATTTTCTATGGGGGAAATAATATGAACATAGAGACTGCAAGACCTTCATATTTTTGCCTTTTTCATGATAAATTTGTGGAAGACGCTGAGAAATTTTTGGAAGGAGAAGGATGGTGTTATTAAAACTGCTTAGCCTAAGAGTGTCAAGGGACTTGGGAAAAGACTCCTGTGTCAGGCCTCAGCACAGACAGTGCTGACTCAGGCTTTTTGCAGAGGATGTGCGATTCACCTATTTCCCTTGACAGTAACACTTTTGTTACACTGTCAGTAACACACTTCCTCTGACAGTAACACTTTTGCTTATATATCCGCTATTCCTCCTGAACATCCTTGTTTCTGACCATCACTTGGTACTGTTACATAATTTCGGGGTCTGTGAAGTAAAAGATGCTAAATAAATATAATAAAAGTCATAAAATAGGTATTTCATATCATAAAAAGGCTAAGTAGAAAGGAACTATTAGTTCATTATGGTCTCAATTTTAAATTATATTATGGGACAAACTTTGCTTTAAATAATTTTATTCTTCCCTCAGAAGTCCTGAAGTAGCGGAGCTCCAAGAGAAAGCCACTCAGAGGCAAGCTGAAACAACAATATACAGTTGCTACTGACATTACTGCTCTTACCCCGAGAACACTGATGTGGTGACTTCCATTGCAATGCCAGGAAGATTCAGTGCTTATTTTGAAAACAAAACAAAATAAAACAAACAACAAACCAGCATCAATGGAAGTGCAACAGATGCTAGTCCAGTGTCTGCTTCAGCAGATAATCGCTGTTGACATCAGTAAAATATAAACAAAACTTACAACAGGACATGCTGCAATAGGAGGCATCATTCAACTTACGCAGAAGGGAGAAAAGAAAATTCAAACCATCTCAATGTACACAGCTTCACGCCACCGAAGGTACCACTGATAACCCTTTCATCATATTACTGGCTCTTTTTAATTCAGAAATTAAAATCAAGCCTATATTATGAGACTGTTGCTTCATATAGTGACCTACATATATCCAACTACGTCTTGAGAATAGTCAGATCAGGTGAACTGAAACTTCTGTGCTTCCTGTTAATGTGGTGTGGTTGCAGAGTAGTGACTCAGTGACATGGCAAAGTGGAATTACTGACATATGTTAAAATACACACACACACACACACAAAAACAGAATTTTGCAAGCTGGTTTATAATCCAAAGTTCAGTTACACACAACTGCTCAGATTAAGAAATAGCCTAAGCATTACACATGTTGATTTAGCAAGTACAATCAGTTATAACATCTACAAATCCACAGCATCTTCAGTAGTAAATAAAGCATTCTGAAGGAAAACAACGTCATTTAAGGTGAAGTAAATGACAGTATCCAGGCACTGTCCGTATTAAGGGTCAGGAGTGGCTACACACAAGCACTTCCACCACAGGTCTGACTTTGCCATCCTCTGCTGAAGTTAAGCCCATAACTGTTCAGTGATTCTCCATAACAGGGCTGCTGGAGAAGTGGTGCTAGGTTCCGTGCTGTTAATAGGAGTCTTCTAGTGATTATCCTTCTCTAGGAAGTCAAAAGCCCATGCTCCACCCCTTCTCCATCCTGCAGTTACACTCTTGCCCCTCTCCCAGGAGAGACCCTTAGTCAGCAAGTTTCCTGTTGGAGTGGGACTACTGTCAAGAATGTGAGATTTATGGGGTCGAAAAGAGATCGAGCAAAATAGTTAGTCTAGGGATTAGGATGCTGTTTTCCTGGGTTATCTGTTTTTAGCCACGTATTGTATAGCTAAAACACATAAACAGGTTGGAGTCAGCTTCCCCCTGGAAACATAAACAGCACACCAAACACGAGAGCACAGTTCTGGGAAAACACAAACCCAGCTCAGCTTGGGAGGGCACAGAGTCCTGCTGGATTTCCACCTCGTCTCATTACAGCCCTTACGTGAGAGCTAGGCACGCAATTCTCCAGATCAGGGTGCATCCACAGATGCACGTGTGTGTGTTTGTGCTTATCACAGAAACTCAGTGACCAGAAATGGATGCACAAAGTCACACTTCAGAAGTACAGGCTTCTGGATCCTGTCTAGCCATTCCTATTCTACCTCTGGTCTTGAAGGAGGTGCTTTCGAGCCACCACAGTGGCTGTCTACGCTACAAAGGATTTGCTAGCACAAGTGTATCACCAGACTCTCCTTGTAAAGAGATAGCTCTTATCAGCAAACAAGTGCTTTTGCTCTTACGCTTTTACTCCCATGAATTAAATAAACTAACCCAACACAACATATGTATGCGTTGCTTAAAAACTGTCAGGCCTTGTTCACCTTTAAGTGAAGGTGCCAATCTCTAGGAGAATTTTGTGCCGCTCTCTGCCCTCCATCCTAATAAGACATTGAAGGACCACCAAAAAGCACAGGTCTCCTCAGAGTTTCTCAAGACTTTTCCAACATGCAGCATATCCGGCATGCTGAGCTCAGACCTTAAACATGGGGCTCAGTCCACTCCACAGGATTTTCTACAGCAGATTCCTGCTAACAAACAGAGCTCAACTTACGACACAGAAGCCTCACAAGAATCAGCTCACATATCGCACGGATTAACTGTAGTAAACTGTTTCGGAAACTCATTTACATTTTTAACAGGAAACTCCAGATGTTCTTCTTCAACATATTATTAAACCCAGAACAAAAAGCAACTTGGATTTCTGTGAAATCGGATTTTAATTGGTTAGCTCTGAGCAGCTGACGAACTGAATCTTTAGCTTTTGCCGTAATCAGTGGTATGTGATATTACACTTTCTTAGAGCAAAGCCAGGCTGAGTCTGCACCTAAGAGAATTTACTATGCCCCAAAGCGCTAACCAAAGTTCTGCAGAGTCCTCCCCTCTCTTCCTGAGACTCATATCTGTAAAGGTTTGAATAACTGCTGGATTTAGGACACTAATTTAGGTCAAATGAAATTACTGTTTGAATCATTTTTTTTTTTAATTTGCAAAACAATTCAAACTCTAATTTGAAGTTTTCTTTATCACTCATTTGTGTGTATTTGGGTAAGGGAACTATTTTGCTTCAGGCCACTAAAAATTGGTCAACTAGTGCAATAGCAAAACTTTCACTTGCATCAGTTGGTGAAGGACTGGGCTCTTTACGGACAAATTTTACCACACAGTAAAAACTGCCTTGCTGCTAGAACATTTGGTGTCAACTCAGCCTTGAAGTGGGAACAGCCATGTATAATTAAAAAGCAGAATAGCATTACGCAAATAAGTGCACAATAGCATTTTCACAGAAGCTGTGTTTCCTGACCCACCTTCAGTTGTTTTAACTTTGTTCAAGTATGATGGACAGCATCTGAAAAACACTTTCCTCTGCAGCTGTCAGAATACAGTAACACCAGGAGTTGGATAGAGAAAACCTCTGAGCATGTGGACTAGAAAAATTTGTCAATGAAGGAGAAACCCAAAGACTGGTCTTCACTTCTTTTGACCCTTCCTCAATATACACTGTTTTTCAATCAGCCCTTAGGTCCAGAAGGAACTTGGACTACCTGCAAGGCAACAGCAAAGGCAAACCTGTTCTCATGAGGCTGTTATTCACTATACAGGGGTCCATATGAGCCATACATAAGGATTTTTTTAAAACAAAAAGACTCAAAATCCCCATACAACAACATAGTGACTTGTTTACCAGCATTCCCATCACTGGAAAAGTACTGGGCAGCCTTGGGACTTAATCCAGACTGTATGTCCCCAAAATACGCCTTGTTGTCTACACCTTCATCAAAAATAATCTCATCCTGATGGCTAAAGAAACCGACTGCTTATATTTATTTGGAAGGTTAATAGGATGAGTATACTTCACATGTTTCAGAACGCATCTTGATGGGTCATTAGAACTTTAAAGCAACAATAAAATATCCATGCAAAGCTACTGCACTTTAGCAGGATTTGGGGGGGAGGGGGAAGGGAAAGTGGAATTATCCACAATCCCAAATTTTCTCCCAAACTTGCCTGCATGGCTAGAAAGCCCCAACTGATCCTTCCCAAAATGTTAGGCCCAGGTTTGAGTAGTAACTTCAGCACTGTTAAGTACAGAAGGCTGATGCATCAAGACAGACACTGGGAGACTCTGAAAAAAAATGAATGCCCAGAGCCGTAAAATTATGCAAGTGTGTAAATACTACCTTGCTGCTACTGTAAGCACTGAACTAATCTATAAAACTCTTATCATGCACAGAGGTAGACAAACCTCCCTGGAAGAACTGCCTAACTACAGAGAAAGGTGCTTCATCTCTCCTGCTGAATTCATTTCACTGTGATTTGGCCAGAAAGAGGAGGAGGATGCTAGAGCAAGCACAACTCTCTAGCTTAGAGAGAGAGAATAATTTGAGAACAAGGTGATCTTTGCTCCAATCCCTAGACGAGCAACCATTTTTATATAATGCAGAACAAAGTCAGCAGAAGAAACCGAGAGGCCATTTCTCATTCCCACAGACAGATAACACGCTTATCATCTGGCAAGGTGGGAAGTCTTTGCAAAGTGGACTCTTTGTGGACTTGTTGGGTGAATACTGTATTTGCAGGAATATCAGGTAAAGGAGAGCATTTCCTCTGTCAGTAACATTTTGTGAGGAAAAGTTGGCTTATTTAGTTCTACCGGTGGTTCAGAGCTGTGAATCCCAAGCAGTGAGATTCAATCAGTATGCATTCCCTACTTGGGAACAGGAGCTGAAGACATTCAGTTCCACGCTTCTTATTGATTAGCTCCATCGTTAACATGCTGGCTTTGCAAATCCTGTCCTTAAGTCAACTAGCTCCCCAAACTAGCTTTATTCTTTACATGCATCTCCTATTGGCAACTGCCATCCTCCTTGCTTAACTTACTGGTCTCTCCACTTCAAGGCTTCTAAGATTTCCTTGACAGAAAACAATACACATTCACTGCAAAGCACGCATCTGGAATTATTAATAAAGGATGCACTTCTGAACTTTTTTCCATGTTCAGCTTTCTGCAAAACACAACAGGAAATGTGCTTAAAGGCTGGCCTGAGAAGTTCAGAAAAACAAAGCAAAAAAAAAAAACCCTCTTGAAGAACCAGATAAACAATAATAGCAGAAAGAAGGCATGAAGAATTTTGTGTCTGCCTTGAAGATTATGGAAGAGCATTCTTCACCAGCTTTGCACCAGTGTTACTCAGAAATTTTGCCTGCATTTCCCTTAAATACTTCTGCCCAAAAGGAAATTCAACTAGAATATTTCAGGTAAAGGCTAAAATCTGTTCAGAAGGAAAATACCATCATGATGATGTGTGAGACGCCATGAGCTTCCATTCTCATCCTAAATTCGGTTTGCACTCTCATGCAACAAAAACGTCTTCCTCCTTTACAACTTCTATTGTCTCCTTGGCAGAAATAAATATCCATGTACCATAGAGCACACAGAATAAACTCAACGCTACCCAGATGCACCACACTCACAGTGCAATATAGTATAGCAAATTGGCACATATGCTGTTAAAACATCCATGACTCCCAGGCCTCAATATCAAGCCTATACAGGAACTCTGATAGAGCTGCCAGATAGCCAGGAATCCCAGGCACTCAGGTAAACATAGAAAACCAAAAAGTAATTAAAAAAAAAAGCTTAAAAAAGAGGACATAGTTCATAAAACTCAGATTACAGGTACCACAGAGGAGAAGCAACAGATGACACATGTTCAACTATATGGTTAAACAAGAAAGTGGCCCATAATGAAGCATCTGGACAGAAGACAATCAAATTAACCCTCCCACAATGCACTGCAGCAGTATTTCCATCTTTAGCCATTAAGTTTTCCACTGAAAAGCTGTCATTTTAGAGGAAAAGGGGCACTTTTCACAACAAGTTGTTTCACGCAAAAACCCAGTTTTCCTGTTAGTAAAAATTTTCTGATCAATTACAAAGTTTGAAGTGCATCACAAAGAATAAGCCTGAAAGTCCTTGAGATAAAACACCCCAATACCTTGATTTGTTCCAGACAACACTATTGGTAGGAAGCTATCGTAATGCAGAACTTCTGGAGGAAGTGGACACTGATTTCTAACACAGTCAGTGCTGGACAGCACTCGCTCTTTAAATCATCTCATTTGAGGGGGGACTGGTCATTTGGGGACTGCAGTCTTTTATCCTATGGAGCACTCAACTAAGCTGGGTGTAGTCAGTCACGATTCCATATATCACCGTATCCAGCTTTAGTAACTTATCCCTTCTAAAGAACAGTTCTAAATGGAAACATCTTGTCTTCCAGAAGTCCACAGAGGTTCCAGCTGAACAGAGAAGTGCCAATGCAACAGACTCTACCAATTTATCTGTTATCATTTGAATAGAAGCAAAGCAGACTTGACCTTTTTTATTTTCAAATGTGTACAAAATTGAAACTGATCTTGTACAAAATTTTAAAACCATGTATTATTAAAACTTGAAACCATGTAAAAAAAAAACCAAACCGCTGTAAGAACTGGCTGCTACCCGCCTGTTTCTCTGAATTCCTGTTAACTTGTTTGCATCACTTGGAAAGAGAAAACAGGCTTTCAGCACAAATCACAAACAGTTTTTGCTGTGACAATGATTACTGTATTCCAGTCACCCAAAAACAGGCAATCAGAAGAGGTAACTAAAATGTCAAAGCCAAATAAAACATTCTTCCACGTTTACTTTAAGAGACCAACTACTCCTAAATACCTGAGCTGAAGTAGGGCAGGGGAAGACCAGTGTTTAGGTGTTTGAGATTGCTTTTTCTAGAGAAGTTGAAATTAACACTAAAAATAGGTCTTGCCAACAAAAGACTTATGTCCACATTGATTCTTCTGACAAGCTGTGGTACTGTACACATTGATCTCTCATAGTCAACCTGGCCAAAAAGCTGGGACAATTAACAAAACCCCAGAGCTTAACCTTCTTTTCTCAAACTCTTGTATATTTCCTATTAGCTTTGTTAAGAAACAGTGGGAATTTTTTGGTAGCAGCCTAAAAGCAGTAAGTAGCAAAAGTAACAAAGTTTATTATAGCACTGTGCTATACTCACACTTCAGACAGCAACAAACAAATATACTGCCACAGCTGTCTAATACACCTGGCTAAAATCAAGCAACTGAGAAGTTGGGTGAACGATGCTACTGCCCCCAAATACTGCATGACTGCCGTAGAACACCTTGAAGAGTAACAGACAGGTTGCATTAAAAGTAATTGTTTCAGTTTCAGGAGGGGCCATTGGTTTTTGTTTTTTTTTTTTTTTTAAAAAAAAACAGCTCCTGTAAAATAATGAAAATAATGAATTAGGACTGAATTCTTAGAGATACCAAGGACCTAGATTTCCAGCACTGGTATAAATACTGAAATGTCAAAATTGGGCTGACACATTTAAAAAGTTGGGCCTTCTTAGTGATAGGTGAAAGGATACTACATGACACCTACAATCACAGTTTTAAAAAAATATACACAACTACAAACTTTAAAAATAAATCATTTTACAGAACAGTTTCTATAAAACAGGTGGGATAGATTATGTCTTGCCCCAGAAATCCTCCTTCCTCTTCTGGGCTCGTTCCAGCACCTGAGATGCCAGTGAGCTAGAAGCTGCAGAGCGAGCAGAAATCTGAGACAGCCTGTCATCTGTGGGAAAGCAACAAGGAAAAAATAAATACATAGATTAACTACACATTTTTAAACACTGCTAACATTCATAGACTTTGAAAGTGCAAATATTTTTATATCCTCCATCACAGTGGATGTTAAAATAGTATCACAATACACTTAGTGGCTTTCTAGTTAGATTATTTTCTAATGTGTCAGTTACCAAGTAATAGAATCTAAGATACTAGGTAAGTTTAAGAGAATTATATGCCCAGCTCTTGACAAACTCCAGACTGAGATCTCCTACTCTTATTGGGCAATTCTGAAAGCACTACCCATTTCTCCAACTTCTCTACATTTACATTTCATCAGGAGACCTCAGAAATCATTCCTCTGCCGCTGAACTCTGTCTAGACTAGATTCTGATAATAACATATTTACGAAAGCAACCCACCACTTTAAGCAAGACAGACATCCTCAGAATACCACATGACTAAAATATCAGTCTATGTTGCTGAAAGCACCCTTCTGTGCCAAAAACAGTGTGCCACAAATTGTTTAAAAAATATATGTCTTCTGAAGAAAACAGGAAGTTTAACAGAAAGACAACAACAAATATGCTTTAAAAATGTATTTTTAAAAAGGTCTCTTTTGAATACATTTGGATACATTGGATACATTTAATGTCCACTGAGCTTCTAATATTATGCAGCACTGAGGCTGCATCTCTGGGGAAAAAAAAAAAAAGAAAAAAGCACAATGCTATACTTCTGCAACATCATTACTAAAATGTTGCCACAGCTCTATCGAGATGGACTCTATGGATAAGGAGCTTACATACACCAATCCTCTTGCAAAGGATAAACAAATTCATACCACCACTTTCCAAAAAACCTTTTCCATCCCCTACCCCCCCAAAAAACAACAAAGACTCCATGACTAAATCCTAACAGGATCTATATTTTGTGAGTGTCGCACTCAACTTTTCAACAACATTTCTAAATCTTTGAAATACAGAGATCCAAACAGCCCGTAATAAGCTTACACACAACACATGCAACGATATTCCCATGTATGAGAAAACTGCTAACTGCACGTCTGCAGACAGACATGTGGTTGGAATAACTCCCAGTTTTGTACGTACACGAACAAATATGGGCATATGAAATATCTGTGAGCTGCCACACTGCGCCTGTTTCTGAACGCTCATATGCCATCATTCAGCTCATAGTAAAAAAAGGCAGTTACAGCACTTAATCTGTGTGGCAAGCTTGTGGGAAGCTGCACAGTACTATAGGATCTTGCATGTTTTAAGTAGATACGCAGATGCTTGGCTGAGCCATCTGCACAACCCACACGTTTTCCAGGCAACTGCAATGACTGAAATAGAGAATCAGCCTGAACCTTGGTTAAAACTGAGGAGCAAACAAGCGTAAAAGGGAGAAGAAAAGACTTTTTGGTTGTTCTGAGGTTTATCTATAAATATCCTGCAGTCAGACATAAGCTCGCACTGCCCATACGCTAAACCCATAAGAAAGACAGGTGACTGCGGCTAGCACAGCCCCACAACAAGTTCAACCTCATATGCCATGCTAAAAAATAACATATATTAGCTCAAGCTAATGAGACTACAGTGCCTTTGCTTGCCTCAGACTACAGAGTTTATTTGTGTCTGCCCACAAAAGGGCCAAGAAGATGTATTTGTGGGCAGTGTGCTTGCTGGCTTCTCCCCTGGAGTAACTTTACTGTAAATAGAGAAAAGGGCCAAAATAGCAATTATAAAAATGGGATGCCTAGTACAGTTCGCAGAAAAACAGGCGTAACCAGGGGAATCATTTTATACTAAATATCTAGTGGTGAAATCTCACAAGCAAAAGATTTATCTTAAGATTTTTAGTACCTTTTAAGTTGCATCTAAAATTACTAGAGACGCAACCTGGGCTGTGATCATTTTGCAGTTTGCTTCTGTTGCTGTCAATATAAAGGCTTAAAAAATGTGCAGGGAGAAAACGATTTCAGGTATGGAGTTGAACAAGTCATATTAACCATACTGAACCACATTGGTTTGTTTAATTTTCAGCCACATTTAATGATTTATTCATATTGGAATACACCTTCAGATTACTGGGATGAACGTTTTTGAATTTCGTTTGATGATATGATGGGGTAGTTACTCATGCAGACACATAAACCAGTATTACTACAGTAGTCAGACACCTCCCACTTTAGTGCAAAATAAAAGTTAAAATTAAACTGTGTGATATATACATGGTATTCATTAACACCTTGGGAAGCAATACCTTCATCATTATAGTTTCTTTCCTGAAGTGGTAACTGGAAAGATCTCATTTTGGGACTCACAACGTTCCCTAAGAAAAAAAAGTCAAAGGTACATTTTTGAATCATTTCAAAATATAGGAAGGATAACAGTTCATTTAAAAAAAAAAAATCTTAAAATGTTACAACATTATTTCCAAAAACATATAATCTTATAAATAACAAACAGGCCAAAACCTCAGTGAGACTCCTCAACTCTGAGATGAGGTAAAATAAACTTGTTCTATTGGATTCTTCTCAAGACATCTATGGTAGATGATTACATAGTGAACTGCACTCCAAATGCAGAGCTAAAATATAGCACATTCTCTGAATTTCACCAGTTCACTTAACCTGACCACTACCTGTTCCATTATAAAAGGAAAATATACCTCAGCTTAGCTGTTCCTTGTAATACAAGGACCAAGAGTACTGGGACCTCAAGAAGTTGTGCAAAGCCTTTCTGGAATGGAGACTTAAGCATATAAACTTTATTTTGACTAAGGGATGAAGGATTCTTTTATTTATCAGATTTATGGCCCCAATGTATATTAACAACTGTTGTTTAAAACTGTTTTGAAATGGTCCAGCACGAATTCCTCCTCAACAAAGAAGAATAGTCTCAAAAAAAAAAAAAAATCGGAATGGTTTTTCTGACTTCCCAAAGAATGTTTCAAAGATGACTTTTTTTTATCCCCATATCCTGCAGAAATATTTAAGGAGCTTAGTTCTCAGAAATATGCAGCTCCTGCAAACTAATACTATACTATAAAGGTCCCCAGTTAAACATCACTGAGGGTAACTCCCAGCTGGAAAAGTGTCTGAACATCCAGCTGCAGGCTGAAGAAGAAATATAACTGTTGATGCTACACCAAATTTTTCTCCTCATGAGCAACTGCTTATTGAAATTAATACAGCAAAATTAGACAGCAGACCACTAGAATACAATCATATTAACAGAATCTGATACTAAGAGAGTTGTGCACACTTCCCTGGTAAGACTGAACATACAATAGAAAAAACTTTTGTTTACAAACACATTCTCTGTAGTCACTAAAGCAGCAAGCTCAGCAGTCTCTTGCCCCGAACTTTGCAAGGTAGCCATTCCCGCCCTGTGACCCTTTTAAAACACAGCCAGTTAATACACAAAACCTACCATTATGCTGGAATTCTGGGTCCTTGAGAGTCCCTTGAATACGACGAGAGGGACTCCAATAAGGCATAGAGCGGATTTCGGCTGCCTTCAGCATAGGAGGGGTAGAGGAATGCTCTTGATGTTCTGAAGCAAGAGAAACTCGCTCATCACAAACACTATCACCAGGCCACTGATCCTGGCGTAAGGGCAAAGGATCCAAAGTTCCCAGCCCAGCAGGTGGAGAGGTAAGGAGTGAAACAGCTTCCACTTCCACATCAGGCTAAGACACAATGGGGAGGGGGAAAAAGCAGCTCATACACAGCTACAAATATATTCACACCAGCCTTCTTATACACATCCTCACATATGCAGCAAATGTTGGGTGTGACACTTTCCATGAGGGCATCGGGAAAAAAAAGCATTTAAGGCCTCTGAGACAGCTTTAAGAAAAACTACTCCTAATAAAAAGTTCTTAACATGATCTAAAAGTAATCTAGTCAGGTCAAACTGAAAGGTCATTTTCCCACAGCAAAAAACTGTGAACTCAGATTCAAAATCAAAACAATCACTTTTTCATGTAATTGTCTCTGTGTCTGTTATAAACCTTACTATAGACAATATACATGCAGTGAAATTATAGCCATCTTTACAGAACACAGACTAAACACAACTTCACAGCAATGACATGCTTTTAGGAGGAAGGCAGCTAAACATCCCCTAAATGTTTCTTTTTCCTTTTGCTAACTATGTAAACTTAAAACGAAAAAGAAAAGTAAGCTATGAAACTATTATGGCACATTTACACATCCAGCACATGGGTACCCAACCTATCTTTCTTAAACTCCTCTCAAGTGATAGAATCTGAAGCTGTACTCAGTGTCAAGAACAAGCTAAAGTAACATTAAGGGGAGAATCAACAGCTCCCGATGGCAGCTTTTTTACTGGACCCTGAAAAAGTCAACATGGGGCTCATCCAATCTCATTCCAATAGTCTCACTTCTTTGCTTGATTAAAAAAAAAAAAAAAAAAAGAAACACTTGGACATCAGCATTTTTTCAATCACAGATGCTGAAAATTTTAGAATAGTAAATGACAACTCATAAAAGAGTTATTAGAAAAATTATCCAAAAATGACTTTAAAAGCACATTCCTAGATTTCATGACGGTGAGTCCCTTTTCTGGCTCACCCGGAAGGATCTTCTTTGTGAAGCTTCTCTTGCACCTTGCTTAGCTGGAGAAGGGTCTGTTCCTAAACCTCTTGTTTTCTGCTGTGGAGATGAAGACTTGGACTTGGGAGGAGACACTAAAACCGCACCTCCTAAAGACAGAAAAATGCTTTATTACATTTAAAAAAATTGTTAAATTAATTCATACATGTATTTTTAGTTCTTGAAGTACTGCTCTGCATTTTAAAAATTCTTTTTTTACCAACAGCTGGGGTGGTGAGATCATGATGAGTCCTCTGAGCTCCACCAAGTGCTCTCAGCTTCGGAGTAGGAAGCCTGCCACCTGTCCCCGAGGCTACAGAAGAAGCATCTGATGTAGCCACAGAGGCACTCTCACTGCAAAAATGAGAAACGATTATAACATTAGCTAATGACTTTAGAGTCTTGCATTCAAGCTTTTAGTTTCTAATACACTCCTATGAAGCCTAAGGTAAGTCAGACAGGGCCATAAAACACCAAGAGCCTGGAGCTAAAGCATCTGCCTACAGTGGGGAGTTCTAGATTCCAGTCCCTGTCCCCCAGTTCTTGTAACCTTTATATTGAAACATTAACTGCATAAAATACATAAACAGTCTCAGGTTATAAATTCAGGCTCGCTCTGGGCCTTCAATGCTTTGCTGCACTGTGGCATAGACTCAACAGGAGGCCTGGAAAGAGTCCTCACCCACAGTAACTTTGAATCTGGTTGCTGATAAGACACCTCCGAGGTGGGAATGTGGCTTTAACCCTTTTCAATCAGCGTGGTAGAACTGAAACCAAGTATCCCACATTTAGACAACCGCACTAGCCCCCACGTTATTATATAAATCAGCACCACCACTTCTGTCTCCTTCCTTCAGATGCATTTCAAAAGGAGGTGGTGTCAAGTCCACACTGTGCAAAGAACCCAATCCTATCAGTGCACACTAGACATCTCTGAGGACACCTAGGCAAAGAATGCCTTATCTCTGCATCTCAAAAGGCTTAGATAGCAGGCAGGTCCTGAACTGCTCTACCTAGCCAAGCCCAGAGCAAATCTGGCCAGACACACAACCACATTTTTAGACGGCAAAAAAACTTCAGTGATAATCGCAGACACATATATGAACCAGATCATCTCTGGGGTTAAGCAGAAGCTAAACGAGGTTTTCAAGAGAACGGTTTTCAATGCTGAAGCCCACACTTGTCTCTTTTTTGGGTTTAGCTCTCAACCTTTCTTTGCCTGGGTTCGCACACAGAATATCGTCCCTAAATGAAACTATTACAATTCCTTACCTTAGACAGATGTTGCCACACCAAAGATAAAACACCAAAAGGAATATAAAATTATTAGACACTACAGTAATGAGGGTCAAAGTAATTTAGATTTTTTTTTTATATATATGTGCATGTGCGTGCGTGTGTAAATACACAAACATATCTTCCAAAATACTTGGAAAACTTGCATAGTAAAAAGCCCAACTTTGTAACTAGAAAAAATATGGGTTTTTCAATTACCAAATACAGTACTATGTAATACACTATGCACATACTGAATTGAACTCTTGCTATTTCTAAATACCTCTCCACAGTTTTTCCTACCTGGGCTCAGTAACACACACACTGGTGATTAATGGATGCTAATTATTTTCTTCCATCAAGTCCTGTATCTTTGCCTACAAGTTTGCTTGAGAAAAATAGACACTTACGTACAAGATTACAATGTCCTTTCAATCCTATCAGTCCTACACTGCCAGTTTGAAGTAAATTGTGAACTTTAATTTTCAACGTACTTGGCTGCTGTGTAATCAGTCTGTTCCGAGACGCCTACACTGCAAATTTTAATTTTTTAAAACAATTATAAGAACTCTTTACGCTTTTATACACACTACAGATTCTGTCTTGCAAGCTAAAAATCCAGCATTCTTAAAAATGCATCCAACCCCATCAACCAGCTCAACCCCACAAAATTTGTCATTCCTTATTCTGCTACTAAAAACAAAACTAGTGTCATGCCAAAATTACCACAGTCATGTAAGTGCCCTCATAAATAAAGCTGCTTTAAAAAAAATTAGTTATCCTTTAAACTGTTGAGATGTTAGTGGAAAGAAATTATATATGCTACAAGAATGCTCAGTTTTACCTTTTAATTTTTTTATCCTCAGTGGCATCCTTATCTTCTAACTTCTGAGTCACGACTGCAACCTGCTCGTTTTCTTTTTCTTCCTCTTCTGCTGATGGCCGATTGTCCATTTCTTCAGTACCTTCTTGTTCACCCCAAACTAAACGCCTTTTGACTGGAACAGTCAAAGCATCTGACATGCCCTTCTTCTCAGTGCTGTCCTGGTGCATCTCTTCTCTTGAGTCAGGTTGGTGCAGTACTTTGGAGCACGGTGAAGTCTCTTTTTCAGAAACTCTAGGTAACGGAAAGAAAGCAGTGCTTCACACCACTGATTTGAAGGATATGCATGTGTCTACGTAGAGCACACTCATCCAATTCCATCCTTTGCCAAAAGGATAGCTCAGATATTAAAAAGTGGAATAGTAAGTGTAAGGTATAGTTAAATTTCTGTTGAAGTTTTAACTGACATTAAGCACGATCCATTTTCGAGCCAAATTCTATGAAAAGCTCCCTTTGGATCACTATTCCCAAAAATGGGATGTAAAGTTAGGACTCTATTTCCTATTTAAATGGCCATTGGGATTATCAGAAGTGCTCAAAAGATAAGCAGTCCCAAGCATAGGACTACATTTCTCTGATGGTACAAAATTTTGACAGCCTAGCGGATTAGAAGACTGTCCTTTAGGCACCAAGGTTTTGAAAATCTTAACCTCTTAAACGCTCACAGAAACCAGTCATTTACATGCAAGTTAGCGCAGTCCACAAAAATGAGATCCAAAAAAACCAAACCAGCAAACCAAAATGTTTACACTGTACCTGACACCAGATGTTTTACTGTAATACATAATCTTTTAAGCATGATCTCCCTTGCCCTTATTACAGCTCCAGCCATGCAAATAGATAGATCTTTCCTCCTCACACAAGAAAAGCAGAGTACACAGAGCAGAGTAAGTGGACTGTAGACAGCAGGCAGAGGCAGCCAAGGCATTGCTTTTAAATGTCAGATCTCAGAGGAGGAGATACAATTTTTTCCCCCTTTCTTGGGCAATAGATGTCCATACATTTCACTAAAATACTATCTCTGAATTTTCCTAACTGAAGTAAAAGTTTTAGTATCTACCAATTCTTATGGCTTTCAAAGAAAGGAGAAAACGGCTGTACAGCGTTACAGAGTCCTAAGTCTTCATCTCAGATGTAAACAGAGTCTAAGACTCCACCAAAAGGTTACTAATTAAATCTGACAGGAACACTGGGAACATTTGAGAAGGCAAAACACATTTCATGGTATTCCAGTGGAGAGAGAATCTTACTCCCACCTGACTCGGTGATAAATTCCCACAGACTTGATGAAACCAAGATTTCCACACTAAAAACACAGTTGTGGACAATTATGAAGGTTTAATTCTTTCTCTTCTATTCTTTCAGAAGACTTGACCACATCTGGCTTTCAGTTTGAACACGTATCAACTTATACACCACGTATCAACCAATATAATAAAGAGGTATAAGCCTTCATAGGCTCTAGTTCAAAAAACACTACAGATGTCACAGCTAAGCTAAGCCCATGATCAGTTTAGTTCAGTTTCAAAGCCACAGAATAACACAGAATAACAAGCAGGAAT